AAAAACAAACCTGAAACCCTTTGCTTTTCCAAACACAGGTCACCTCTCATCCCTAATACATGCCAGATGGGTGAGTGTGTGTAGGGAAGATACAAGGTAAAAATTCTGAGGTTTTGTCTTTTCTGTTTTTTTTGAGACAGAGCCTCAAGCTGTCCTCCTGGGTAGAGTGCTGTGGCATCACAACTCACAGCAACCTCCAACTCCTGGGTTCAAGCGAGTCTCCTGCCTCAGCCTCCCAAGTAGCTGGGACTACAGGTGCCCGCCACAACGCCCGGCTATTTTTTTGGTTTTGGCCTTCATTGTTGTTTGGCAGGCCCAGGCTGGATTCGAACCTGCCACCTTAGTGTATGTGGCTGGCACCTTAGCCACTTGAGCCACAGGCACCGAGCAGGTTTTGTCTTTTCACCTTTTGACCTCCTCAATTCTCCTATGCCTTTTTTGATGGCACCAGCCTCATAGCCTCATATCTTTCTGGCTTTTCAAGTGAATAGTAAGGAGCCTACATATTATAGACCCAAAATGGCAGGAACTTAAGGTGAGCAGGTAAAGTGAGCTTTCCTGCAGGGATGGGAGAGTGGGGTGAGCCCAGGGCCCCAGGAGATACAGTCTGGAGTGAGTGCTGGCCTGCAGATGAAGTCCAGCCCCTGTCCACAGCCAGCACTCACAGTGTCTGACCCACCCCTAGGCTGGTTTCCACCTGACCCAACAATCTTCTGTCATGGAACATTCCTCAAAAGCATCAAGTTCCAGGTAGATCCCTGTATCTCCTGCCCTAAATAAAGATCTCAGAAGACAGACAGAGCATCTTCCCTGGGGCTCTTCCTCCCTCACCCAGGACCAGATTATATATGTCTGAGGGCATCACCCTTGTTCCTTCCTCTCTTGCTTAGACACTCTATTTTCTTCCCTCTCTCCTTCCCTGAACTGCTTGAGGACTTGGCACCCATTTTATTGTCTCCCTGGTCCCTGTCCCACCATCATCCTGGTGCCTTCCCTGACTGTGGATGCCAGGTCTGCCTGGTGGTCCTTTAGCCTTGTTCTCTCCCCTGACCTCCTCAGCATCAGGCTGTGGTGAGCTGTGGAATGTGGGGGGACAACAGAGGAGCCCCAGCTCGCAGGCTCTCGTCACTGCCAGTGGCACAAGCCATCAGTGCTGTAGGTCTCACTGCCTTCCTTCTCCCACTGCCTCCTGACTGTTCCCAATTTTCACCCCTTTCCTCAGCCCCTTCCCACCACCTCCCACCTTACCCTCAGCAGATGGTTCTTCTGCCTTGTATTTCACAAGGGAAAATAACTTTTCAGCTTTCCTCCTTACTTACAAATGTCACTGAACCAGACACAGTGCCCTTCCTCCCTGCCCCCCACCTTGTGGAGCTGGGCCTTGAGGACCCTGTTGTCCCTGGGTTTGGGCCCCTTCCTGCCTCGGCACCTCCCATTCCCTTCTATCAGTCATTCTCCCTTTAGCTCACCTTCTTTCTTCTCTCTATCCATTCTTGCCTTCACCAAATAAGTATGTTGAGTTATTTTCTCAGCCATTGCCACCTCCCAGCCATCAACTATGCTGTGCTCTGTGTCATTGGCCAAGTGTCTCAGAGGAGCCTCCTCATCCTTCCATTCTCCACTCCCTGCAACCTGGCTTCTCTTGCACCAGCCACTACAATGCTGTCACTAAAATCACCTTTGACCTTCATGCTTCATGTTGGCCAAGTCCTGTGGACGTTTTCCAGGTGTGATCTTGCAATCTTGTTTCTTTTTTAAGAGACAGAGTCTTACTTTGTTGCCCTTGGTAGAGTGCTGTGGCGTCACAGCTCACAGCAACCGCCAACTCTTGGGCTTAGCCAATTCTCTTGCCTCAGCCTCCCAAGTAGCTGGGACTACAGGCACCTGCCACAACGCCTGGCTACTTTTTTGTTGCAGTTTGGCTGGGGCCGGGTTTGAACCTACCACCCTTGGTATATGGGGCCGGCATCCTACTCACTGAGCCACAGTCACTGCCCAGTTTTTTTGTCTTTTTTTGGAGATAGAGTCTTACTCTGTTGCCCTAGGTAGAGTGATACAGCGTCATAGCTTACAACAAACTCACACTCTGGGCTTAAGTGATCCTCTTGCCTCAGCCTGCCCAGTAGCTGGGACTACAGGCACCTGGCTAATTTTTTCTATTTTTAGTCTCATTCTCGCTCAGACTGGTCTGGAACTCAAGGGATCCTCCTGCCTCAGCCTTCCAGTGTGCTGGGATTACAGGGTGAGCCACCATTCCCGGCCTCCTTTTTCTTTTTTTTTCTGAGACAGAGTCTCACTATGTCACCTTGGATAGAGTACCATGGCATCAGAGCTCACAGCAACCTCAAACTTTTGGGCTTAAGTGATGCTCCTCCTTCACCCTCCCCAGTAGCTGTGACTATAGGCACCTGCCACAATGCCTGGCTATTTTTTTTTAGAGACAGAGTCTCACTTTGTCACCCTGGGTAGAGTGCTGTGGCGTCACAGTTCACAGCAACGTTCAACTCCAGGGCTTAGGTGACTCTTGCCTCAGCCTTCTGAATAGCTGGGATTATAGGCACCTGCTGCAATGCCTGGCTATCAGCTATTTTTTTGCTGTAGTCGTCATTGTTGTTTGAACCCACCAGCCTTGGTGTTTGTGGCCAGTGCCCTAGCCGCTGAGCTACAG